TACACATAAAATAAAAATAATAAATAAAATATTTAAAAAAAGAACAACAGACTGAAGAGAGCCTGCAGCATAGGCGAAAATCTTTGTCAGCTGTTCCTGTGACAGAGGATTAGCACTGAATATCTATATTTAAAAAACTAAAAAGCTAAATACCCGAGAACAAATAATCAGTAAATGAGCAAATCAGTGGAACAGAACAACTACATGAAGAAAAAATGTTCAATATCTGTAGCCATCATGGAAATGCAAATCAAAACTAAAATTCAAATGGAAACACCGAAGGCCCCAAATAGCCAAAACAATTCAAACAAAATCTCATGCATGTAAAAGACAAGAAAGATCTCTACCTTTCACCTTGTTTAAAACTCAACTCAGAGTGAATCAGAAGTCTTAGAATAGGATTTGAAACTACTAGAAGTTTTCAAAAATTATAATTTTCATTGTCTATTCATCTGTTGCTAGAGCTAGGCTGAGTACATGTATCTTTATTGGATACTGACTTTGACTCCATCTAGAAGTTGTGTAAATTGGATCATATGGTAATTCTATTTTTAATCTGATAAGAGGGTTAAAAAAAATTTTAAAGCATATTGCTTTGTCATTTCTTAGAATTGCTGTGAAGTGGGGAATCATAAACATGTGTATATATGATTGTGTGTATATATAATTTTCATAAGACCATGCAATTTGAAGATGACGATCTTGGCCCACCAGCTCCTCCTAACCCATTCAGTCATCTCACAGAAGGAGAACTTGAAGAGTATAAGAAGACAATCGAAAGAAAACAGCAAGGACTGGAAGGTTAGTGAAATTTTAGATCAAGTATGGGGATAACCAACCATGCTGATAACAGTACAGCACTTCAAGTTGGATAGCAGAAGGCAGTCAAGATGTTCTTTCTACATGTTCCTCTGTGTAATTGGTCTGTTCTCCAAGCTCTGCTCTAGTCCTTTGCCAAGAGCAGGTGAGGCTGATTGCAGAGAACCACCCTCTACTGCTTAAGACAGGTAGAAAAAAACTGTTCTTCCTCAGAAAGAATCTGAATGCTATTTATAGTACATTTATAGCACCAAATCCCCAGATATATGAAGAGTTTCCAGAGGTAATAGATACAGAGATACAGATGTGTCATCATTTTCTTTAGACATTTTATAGTATGTGGATTTTTAAAAACTCTATTTTGAAATAATCACAGATTCACAAGAATGTGATTTTAATGCTTTGTAAAATAGTTGCTCTTGGTGTCCCATGGTCATTGCAAAATCAGCATTTAGAATAAATTGCTGGAGGGACCAGAAATATGGCTCAGCAGTTAAGAGCACTGCAGAGGACCTGGGTTCAGTTCCCAGCACCCACATGGCAGCTCACAACTGTCTGTAACTCCAGTTCTAGGGGATATATGCCCTCTTCTGGCCTCCATGGGCATTGCATGCATGCGTGCACTTACATGTAGACAAAACACTCATACCATAAAATAAAAATACATAAATCTAAAAAGTTTTTAAAAAGAAATCTGTAATTCCTAAAGTGGGTGATAGCATCTGCTTTAGTTCATTGATAGTATCCAGTTAAAACTTTTACCTGGAGCAAAACAGAAGCCAATAATTAAAGAATCTTTGCCCATATCAGATACCATGGAGCTCTGATAGCTAGGGCTAATGACATCTAGGCCATTCAGAAAATCATTTTTACCAGTATGCTCATGCCTTTATCACAAAAGTCAGTTATCCTAACTCATTAATGTACTTACATTTCATGTTCTGTGTGGTATATCAAACTTGTTTATTCTAATATACGATTGGGCACTTTCTCTTGTTTGTTTTATAAAATGTCCCTATTTCATCTTTTATTTTTTGAAAGCCTAAAGATGCCAGGTAACAACTATTACACTCTAGAACTCTCATTTTTTATATATGACTTTGTGTTTCTTTTACATTTATCATGACCTAAATTAGCTCACCAATACTGCTCTGACAAGAATCACTAACTGGAAATTGTTCAGAAACTCCATAAAGCATTCTGCCTCATTCATGTAGCAATGTCAGTGAGGCTTCGTAATTCATCTGGCTGTGTATTTTGGTTTTCTATCACTAGCAAAAGCGAAATGCATACATATTCTTTGCCTGGGCTGCCAATGTCCACGCTTCCTTTGAATCCCTGTATGTAAAATTATTATTAGCAGTCGGAAGCTTTAACAAATTAATCTCTGAATGCATAATTATTGACATATGGAATAATGCTAGCATGCCCAGCTCACAGCTGAAGAATGTATTATTTCTTTTTGATTGTATTATTTCTTTTTGATATATACACTAACCTCTCTGAAATCTTAAGCTTCCTTGTTTTGTTTTGCATGGCTTTTAACTAAACATCTTATCCAACAGATGCTGAACAGGAATTACTCTCAGATGACGCTTCATCTGTTTCACAAATTCAGTCTCAAACTCAGTCTCCGCAAAATGTCCCTGAAAAATTAGAAGGTATTCAATGTAATTTCCCATAGCATTTACTGAATAGTCTTGAGAGTCTTTTTGTCATTTGTTTTTGTGTAAGAAATTGAACACTTGTTCATCATAACTTTTTCACAGATCTTTTACTTAAATCTCTCCAAAATGTTAAACATTTTAGTAAATGGGGTGCTACCTTTATTTTATTTATTTATTTATTTATTTATTGTCTTTTTTGACACATGGTCTTCCTGTAGCCCCAGCTGGCCTGGAACTCACTTTGTAGACCAGGCTGGCCTCGAACTCACAGAGATCCACCTGCCTCTGCCTCCTGAGTGCAGGATTAAAGGTGTGCCCACCATGCCCAACTGGGGCACTACTTTTGTTCATCACTTGTATTGATTCACTTTCATCTGGTTTTGGGAAACCCATAATTTTTAAGAATTTGTGGAATTAAAATTGACTTGCCATGTAATGCATCTTCTAACCAACAGCATGAAGTTTTTTTCACTTTTAATTGCCACAATGACCCCAAAACTAAAGAAAAATAGATGCTGTCATCTTCATTTACCGAGACTTACAATGAAATGTCATGTCATCAAACTAGACTTATTTATCTTTGACTCTTTAACACCTTTGCTTTCTTCCCCTTTGTATCATTTAAGAAAATTAGCTTCATGCTAATAGACCCATAGGTCATTAAAATAATCTATGCTCATTAGAATTAAAGTAATGCCTTAGTACATTAGTAGGTTTTGAAAACTAAGCAGAAATGTTGACGTGCAAAATAACCCTCCCCTTTTTAGAAAACCATGATCTATTTTCCAAGAGTTTCATCTCCATGGAAGTGCCTGTCATGATCGTAAATGGCAAAGATGATGTGCATGATGCTGAAGATGAGCTTGCTAAGCGAGTGAGTAGATTAACTACGAGCACGACCATCGAGAACATCGAGATTACAATCAAATCGCCAGAAAAAATTGAAGAAGTCCTGTCACCCGATGGCTCACCTTCAAAATCACCATCCAAGAAAAAGAAGAAATTCCGCACTCCTTCTTTTCTGAAAAAGAACAAAAAAAAGGAGAAAGTTGAAGCCTAAGTAGTCTTTTTGTAATTACTATTATGATGTGACATTGCACATTTAAATACCACGTTTAAGTTGATCATTAATATACAGTGGTAGATCAGATTAGAGGTATGTAGTAAACTGGACTTTAAAAACTGGAAAGAGGTTTTACTAAAAGAAAAACATTATGAAAAAGCTTTCAAATTCATCTCTCTTTTTATATGTCCAAAAATGGCTTTCAGTTTTTAATCAGCTGCTAGTTTAAATTGGCTCTATCCTCATGAAATACAGTTCATCACTAACAGATACCTGTCTGGGTTATTTCAGACCTTCTCCATTAGCATAGTATCTGTTAGAAAGAAATTGCCAATGAACAAGTGAGAATTTTTACTTCTCAATACCTACTTCACTTGGTAATCAAATTATAATTTTATCGTGGTTATCAACCATGACTTTTGGGTCCCCATTGTTACAATGGGCATTAATAGAATGCTTTAAAAGCTTCTAACACAAGAATCTGTAGCATTAGTATACACTGGCACATAATTTTTTTAAAAAGTTTTAAGAAAAGATTTGTTTGGAATTTTATTCATAGTCTAAAATTTCCTCACCTGAAGTAACTTTGTTTGCCAAAAAAATCATTTTAATAAACTATAATTTTTGAAAGAATTCCTTTTTATTAGTTTAGAAAGCCCCTTATTTTTCATAGAGGGGATTTTGTACACATAACATGAGTTATTTAGTTTAACTCTGGCAAAAACAATTTTTGTATGTTGAGATGTTTGTATACCATTCAGTATAAGAGTGTCATATGCATCTTAGCCAATCATTTAACAGTAGCGCATGTTGGAGCTGCTTGGTACTGAGTGTAATTCAAGAATCCAGGGACATGACATCAAAAGGGCATATAAAGCTACATCTAGACTCATATTTGAACCTTATAATGTATTTTTCTCTTAGTATTGCTAATGAATGAAGAACATCTCATAAGGCAACCAAATGAAAAGACTGAAAGGGAAAGGGAAAACTGAAGGGAACTAGCGACAGAATGTGAAAGAACTCTAGTTTGGTAGTAATGTGTATTCGCAGTAGAATATATAGTTTGATCTATTGAAAACAAGTCCCAAATTTCCAAAATCTTGTTTCTCTGCCAAAATCATGTCTTGGTTGATGTTTGAGTTTTAAAGGAGTTAAATCCTTCTAACATAGACTTTTAGAGGGCAGCATTAGAATAAATCGGTAGGCCTAATCCCACCCATGAGAAAACTACCACTTCTTAATTTTTGCAAACTTTAAATTTTTCTTTTCAGTTAGCTTCCTTTCTAATGTAAATACAAATTTAAACTTAGGCTTAATATAGTTTTCTCCATTTTCCCAAGTGATGTCACAAATCAGTGTAAAATCAATGATCCAAAATAGTGAGTAAAAATAAGAGGGTGAGTCGGCATGCAAAACATTACATTGACTACAGTGTGCTCTGTGTATGGTGACACAAAGTTGAAACAGAGCCCAGAAACGTCATTATGACTCTTACTAACTACTGGAATCTCTTAGTGGAAACTTTCAGTTGCTGAATTGTGTATTTGAGGATTATTTTATGTTTTACATCATTTATGTTGTATTACGATGTATGTAGAAACAGTAACCTGTGAGCCATGCTTTTCCATAACTTTTTAAAAATATATATATCTAAATGAATGCAATGTGCATAAATATTTTTAAACGGTAAACTATTGCACCTTTTGCTAATGCCTCTATTTACTTGCTTTGGCATAATGAATGAGCCAATGAACCTCTGTGTCCTGTGGAAAAAAATGTATAAAAGTTATCTGATATTGCTCTTAGATGTATGCTAATTAATGTTAAATCACAAATAAACAATATTTTAAATATATGGATTCCGTATAACGAGATTTCCTTTTGGGGTGATTTCTTAGCTTATACTTTGTTCTATCTAGTTTTATATAAACCTGTGAAACTTTAAGATTGAAGTTTCTGGGGCTGGAGAGATGGCTCAGCAGTTAAGAACACTGGCTGCTCTTGCAAAGGACCTGGGTTTGATTCCCAGCACCCACATGGTGACCAACAACCATCCTTAACTCCAGTTCCAGGGGATGTGATGCGGTCCTCTGACCTCCTTGGGCAACACGTGACACAGGTGCACTTAACATACATGCAGGCAATACACTCATACACATAAAATAAATATTTTAAAAGATTGAAGCTTCTGAATTGAAGGATCATGTTGATAAATGGTTTTTCATTTTAGTTTAAAATTCACATATACAGCATGTATCATATATGTTTACATGTGTATGTGAAACCTTTCTTGTTTTAGTACATATACTAAGGAATCCCTAGTTTTAGTCTTGGTAGGTTATGGTGGCCTTATGATTCTAACAATTTAAATTCTGTTCATGTCTATCATTTTAGGATAGAAGATGTAAAGATATGTATTAAGTTTACACATTAAACAAATACAAGCAACACTCTAAGGAAAAGAGCAAAAAAATTGGAAAATAGTTTATTCTTCCCCATTAATATTTAAATTTTTTTTCTTCCAGTTCTTGCCCAGTTAAATATGCATTTTCTAAATGTTGGTAATCATAGTGTGAATATAATTTCTATCCTTTTTTTTTTCCTGCTTAAAATAATCCATCCTAGCCAGACATTGAGGTGCACTTCCATAATCCCAACTCTAGGACGGAAGAGCCAGGGAAGATCAGGAGTTCAAGGCTAGCCTCAGCTATATAAGACCCTGTCTCAAAAAAAAGGGCCACACCCTAGGAGGTTTTCAAACTAAATCTATCACATGAATAGTTTCTCATGGTTGTTTTTTCTACTTTGTCCTAAAAATAGAGTGCAAAAGAGAAATCATGTTAATTGGAGGTTCTGGTTAATCGAAGTTTTTACTGTAATTACATATTATGCAAATGAAGGGCTTGCAAATGGAAGAATAGACTCATGGTCTTGGGCATATTTAATTGTTACATTGACTTGTAAATAACTCTGTAGTAAAGAAAAAAATTGCCATTTCAGAAAGATACTTATATCAAAATTGCCTATCACAAAGCTGCAGAGACCATTATCCTTGGTCATCACTTGGGTCAGGATAGCTTGAAAGGTGGTTGCTTCTGCCTTTCTTCAGTCAGTTTTTCATTGGGTCTTTTAACATCTCCTTTTCCAAAAATTGAAAGAAAAGTCATAAAGATAAGCCAGTTATTTATTTTTTTATATTTTATTTTATGTGTATGAGTGTATTGCTTGCATGCGTGTAAGTGCAACCGTGTCTGACAATGCACACGGAGGGCAGAGAGAGCATCATATCCCCTGGAACTAGAGTTAGGGGCGGTTGTTTGCCACCATATGGGTGCTAGGAATCGAACCCAGGTCCTCTGTGAGAACAGCCAGTCCTCTTAACCCCTGAGCCATCTCTAGCCCTTCAGTTATTTATTAAACTTAGGGGTGGTATATTCTTGACTGAACTGGAATTTTAAAAAGAGCAGTTTCCTTTGTGGCCACTAGAGGGTGCAACAGACCTAACAATCCAACATCCCCAGACCTTGCATTCAACTTCGCTTTTTTTTTGGGACTGCAAGCACCATGTTTGTTGTGAAGTACTTGGAAGACATTTCCTTTGTTGCTTACTCTCACTAGTCTGCCCTCAGCTTTGTTGTTTTAGCAGGTCCTAATTCACCAGAATAGGCATCACCTGCATTGCTTGTAAGGCCTTCGGAGATGATAGCATACTGAAAACTTTCAAGGCATGGTTTCAGAAACTAACAGAAGTGACTGCGCAGAGATTTCATGCTTGCCAGTGACCATATAAAATTCCTCCTTATATAATGGGCATCTTTGACCAAGGAGGTAATTGATAATACCTCTCTGTTTTGAGGCCTCTGTAAAGCAAAGATTATGCTGAGTGCTTTTTATGTAATAACACACTTGGCCTTCTTCCCACCATCCCAATAAAGTACATGGTATTATCCCCATTTTGCAGATGATAAAACCAAGGTTTGTAGGAGATAATCAGGAAGATCTGGTATTTTGACCATAGACTCAGACTTCCAGAATTACTCGTGCCATCTTGTATGCTAATCTCCGCATGGCTTTAGTGTACATTTTTATGATCTTTTTTTAACAGAGGCAGTTACTATAGTTTGGACTCTTAAGTCCAGCCATGGCGAACCTATGCTTTCTTTTATGTATATTTGTATAAAACATTAACTTTTGATTTGAAAGTATTTTTTCCTCCTCAAAGTCACCTCAGAGCACAGAAGCTGGTGATAAGTAGGAACGAGCTGTGGTGATGGTACCTTTATGAAGAATCGGTGCTTGGCTCTTCCTGCCTGGAAAATAGTATGTCTTTCATCTTCTAAGGCCATAAAAGCTTGAGAAGAAGCCCTGTGTTTCTGACTTCCAATACTAGAATCAGAGACTTTCAAAGAAAGATGTAAGAGCCTGCTAAGGTAGCTTCGTCTAGTCGTATAAGTAGAGGAAAGACTAAGTAATGGCAGATACTCACTGAATATAGAGAGAGTCATTCTTAGAAAATAAAATTACATGCATGCTGAAGTTCAGAACACTTAGGTTTGGAGGAACCATTAGTAGAAAAATGCAAACTTGGTTTTCAAAGGGGGTTAATTGTTAAAAGATGGTAATAAAGGTGCAATACTGAGCCTACACTTCATTGAGGGATCTTCCTTTAAAGCATTTTTTTTTCCTTTGGATCTGGAACTTTATTCTGATTCTGCATTGCTAGGTGCAGTGTAGAGCTGAGGAAAGTTAATAGATACCAAGTTGCTTCCTGTGGTCCTTAAGGCGACATTCTTATTCTGACTTGTGAAGAATCAACTCTTCAGAGAGGTTGTACTGCCTCTGAACACACGGTAGCAAGGAGCAAAGTCAGGATTCAAGCCTGGAAACCCAGTGGAACCTAACCTAGGATTAGGTAAGTACACACTATCTAATGTCTCCTGAGAACTTCATAATAGGAGTAAAGGAAATGCATTCTAAGACCAAGCCTGGATATTATTCATCAACCACTGTTTTTGATTTGAAGTTGTCAGATTCTCCATGAGCGTCTCATTCTTTCAGGGTAGCCGTGGTGCTGATTCCTTTCCTCATGTAACTTAACATTTTTATTTTCTCCCTGAGCTGCGGACCAAACCCAGGGCCTTGTGCTACCCACTGAGCTAAATCCCCAACTCCGTAACTTAACATTTTTTAAATGTCATTTATGCTTTAAATGACAAACTGGCATATTTTTATATTCCTTCCACTCGAAGAAAAATCATACACCTTGCGGAAAAATAGACGATGTATATCCAGTCCAGTCTAGATACTGAAGCTGCTGAAATAAGCCAGCTTTTGCTTCCAGGCTTCATACTTGCCAGCTGTAGGGCCCTTCTCCAGAGCCAACTTTGACTACGCATGTGAGAGAAGGGAAATCCCTTATTTTCAGTCCAGATTACTCCTGTCACTAGGCAGAATAGTAGTTTCCTGCTAAACCTGACACCCTAAAAGAAATAGCGCTGATTTTGTTCATTGACTTTGGATGTGCTCTGAAGAATGTTGAATTTCTAAGAAAACATTCTAAGAGTTTTTTAATGTGATTTTGAAATGGAAAATAAGAATGTGTAATACAACAGGTAACAGCAAATGAAAGGATGTGTAGACAGGTTTTCCTTATACTCTGCTCCTCAAAAAGCCAATAAACCTACAATCCCAGCACACAGAACTCTGAGTCAGGAAGGTCTGGAGACCAAGACCAGCCTGAATTACACAGTGAGATGTCCTGTTTTTTAAAGGGGGCAGGGGCTGTAGCTAGCATGTGCAAGGAGACAGGTTCAGTCTTTAGCACTGCAAAATAATACGTAAGCCCTCTAAAAAAGGCCACTTTGAACTGTCAACTGTCAATTTCTGGGGCTAAGCAATGTTCCTTCAGGTTGATATTTTGATGTGAAGGGTTTTGGGGGTTTGGAGGGTTTTTTTGTTTGTTTTTTTCATGTTGATTTGGGATTTTTTTCTGAGATAAGCTTTCATACTGTGGAGGACTGTGGACTAGAACTCTCTATAGCCCACACTGGTTTCATACTCGTGGCAACCCTCTTGCCTCAGCCTCCCGAGGGCTAGGATTATGGTTGTAAGCCACCATGCCTACCTTTAGACATGTTTTCAAGGGGAAAAAATCATTTCCCAAAGCAGTGTGTGAGGTACCTACCCCAACAACTGGGGGTGAGAATGAAGACGCATGTTCTGTAAAGCAAGAGTTAAGACCAAAGACAGTCCGCCTGTCTGTGGACTTCTCTAGGGTGTTCTTGACTTAAATAATCTCTGAGATTTAAAAAAAAAAAAAAATGACTGGCCTAGCCCAGCCCCAGAGCCACAGTGCTTCCAGAGCCTTCTCAGTAACTTGCCAGCTAAATGTGCTGTCCTTGGAGGAGGAGCATGTTTTAGACATGATCCAAACAAACCTTCCCCACAGTAACCATGTGTGAAGGTTTGCAGCATGCAGGAGCCGTGGAGGAAGCAGTTGCGCTCTGTAACTCACCCTTTCCTGTTGAATAATGCTGGGGGGTGGATTGCAGTGCTGACTGGTGTGAGAGAGACTTTGACTTTGGAGTAGTTGGCCTCAGTTTTATGAGAGAACATGTAGATACAGCCAGCTTGTTGGCAGGCACAGGCATACACTTCCAAAGGTGTTTACTGGACTAACAAGTTAAGGTTAAACATTACTGCCTACTGGTTTCTATTTTGGAAATGTTGACTTCAATTGTTTTAACTGAAAGTGAGGTCATTTGAGGCAAAGACACCAAAGAATGCATCCCACATAGCATTTACTGGTCCACAGAGAGGTGAGGGAGGAGTGAGGCGCTTTTTGCACCTGGATGT